CTCCCTTAGAAATCTCACAAGACGTTTAACTTAGGTGTGAAAAAGAATCTCCCAATTTATAGGTCCGAAATAAGGGTAATCTTAGTAAATAAGAAAACTCATATTCATAAACGACCACTCGATTGGTGGCAGGACGGTCATAAGGTGGTTATCGCTCGAACCAAAAACAAGTTCCAATCCTGACTAAGGTAAGCACCGCTCGAGTGACCATGAAGGATCACTCAAGCGAGTCAAGTGTTGCCTTCTATGGCCTTTTCACATTTCATTCCCTAAGTCATAAAGAGACCGCTCTAGCGAAGGCCAGCAAGCATAGATCGGTCCTTGTAGATTTTTAAGCATAAAACTATGTAAAAACATGTCCTCTTGAGCACTAAAGGGTGTTGCTCAAACAGAGATCCGATTGTGCATTCTTCAGTCCAAAAGGTATTACTTGATAGCAGTATGTCTTTATTCTGTCACAAAGGAGTTTTTCTCCTGGTTGCTGGGATCCATTCTGATCTAATTGTAACCAAAGAAGGCGTCCATGAAGCTCAAGAACTTGTGCCCTACGGTGGCATCCACGATCAAGTCTATCTGAGGCAAATGGAAGCTATCTTTAGGGCAAGCACGATTGAGGTTAGTAAAATCGATGCAAAGACGCCATTTTTTATTGGTCTTCTTAACAAGAACCATGTTACCTAACCAAATAGGATAATCTACTTCTCTGATGGCCTTGGCATACAAATTCTTGCTTACTTCCTCATTAATAGCCTTCTGCCGCTCGGGGGCTAAAACTTCTCCTTTTCTGCTTAACGGGTTTACTGGTTGGGTTCACACTGAGCTTGTGTAAGATGATTGAAGGGTCAATTCCTGTCATATCTTCTTGCTTCCAGGCAGACACTCCTATATTCTCCTTCAAGAATTGGATGAAAAGGTCTTTAATTTCTCTATTCAGCCTAGATCCGAAGTAGACAAGGTGTTCTGGTTCTTCATCAAGCTAGACTAGTTCCAACTCTTCTGATGGTGTTGGTCTAGTGTCTAACTCATCCCTCATGTCAAGCTTGTCCAGTTGAATATTTTCAACCTCCTTCCTTTTGATAGACGCCATATAGCTTTCCCGTGCCACGTGTTGATCACTTCGAACCATACCAACCCTATTTTTCGTTGGAAACTTCATAACCAAATGGTAGGCTAAAGGTATAGCCCTCATTGCATTGAGGAAAGGTCTCCCAAACAGCATATTATACGCCGAAGGTGCATCAACTACCAAAAATTTTATAGAAGTGGAGGTTTGGCAGGGAGGGTTCCCAATTGTGAGCATGAGTTGTATTGACCCCAGTGGTAGTACCCTTTCTCTTGAGAACCCCAACAGGTGGGTAGTTATTGGCTCGAGCTTTTCTCTACCTATCTCCATTTTATCAAACGCTGGAGCAAAGATGATGTCCGCAGAGCTCCCGTTGTCAATCAATACTCGATGAACGGTTCTGTTGGCAACAACCGCTCTTACAACTAATGAATCATCATGGGGATGCCGGCAACCTTCCGAATCTAAGTCTGAAAAAGTGATGGGTATGTCCAGACGTGGAGTGTTGGATACAGTATGTATTTCCAATGTTTCTTTAGCTCTGATTCTTTGCAGGTGAGCTTTCCTAGTTGAGTTAGTTTCTCCTCCTCCTGTAAATCCTCCTGATATTACTCTGATTTCCCTAGGGGTTGCCGATGCTGCACAGGGGCTTGTTACTAAGGTACTGGTGGTGGTTGAGCTCTGTTCTGATTATCATGGGCAATAAAGTGACGCAACTAACCCCTTTGGATTAAGAACTTGATCTCCTTCTTCAGCTGAATGCAGTCATCAGTATGATGACTACTGATGACTGTGGTCTCTATGGTACTTGTAGTACTTGGCAGGGTCACTCTTTACTGGATCTGCCTTCATTCGAGGAGGCCATCTCAGGAACTTTTCATTATGCACCTCATACAGGATCTGGGACACTGTGGCAATGAGTAGATTATACTACTGAGGTGTATACCTTGGCTGCAACTCAAGTTGTGGGGGACCTAGAAGATCCCTCACATTTCCCCTCCTTTTTGGAGAACATTTTGTATCTCTCCTAGGAATCTGTCTCTTCTTGGAGACCTGTTTCTTTCTCTTTCTTTCATGGGACTTCGATCCCTTTTCTTTTCCTCCTTCTCTTTTCCTTTCTTCGAAGATGAGCTCCCTGCCTCTGAAAGGAGAGCTTCCTCGTCGTTTATATATTTCTCTGCTTTTGCCAACACCTTGGCCATGCTTGCTTGAGGATTTTTAGATATGGAGAACATCAAGGACTTCGACTGTAATCCCAATCCTGCGATGAAAGTAGTAATTGCAAACTTTTCGTCTAGAATGTCTATCTTTAGGGACTCCGAGTTAAACCTTTGAACATAGGACCTCAGATTTTCTTGAGGTCCCTACTTCATATTCAGCAAGTGGTAGCTCGACTTTTGGTATATTCAAGCTCTAATGAAATGAGACACAAAGGATATCGAGAGTTCTTTAAAGGAAGAGAATGAGGCTGGGGGAGCCTGTTAAACCATGCTAGGGTTGATCCTTTCAGCGTTATGGTGAAGGTACAATAACGAACAAGGTCTTGATATTCATGCAATTCCATCTGTTTTTTATAAGTATTCAGGTAGTTCATAGGGTCTCTGGTTCCATCAAAAGCTTCCACCTACGGCATTCTGAATTTCGACAGGAGGGAGAAATGCAACACCCCAGGAGTAAACGGGGATTCAATTTGATACACCAAGGCGTCCATGGTTACTGGAGTTTTAGTCCTCACGACTTCCTTCATGTGGCTGAGCTCCTATTGAATATCTCTAAAGTGTTACTCCCAATATTTGTCTTTTCACTCCTACTAGTCTGGGCATAGGTTATTCTTCTTATTCCCATTACTTTGGCTCTGTACCTCTTTGTTGTCTCTGTTCCTTAGAGAAGGTTGAGGAGCCTGGCTATTTTATCCTCATTCGTCGACTTTCCTGAATGGGTCGAGATGCCGTTGTTCCCTATAAGGGGGATCATCCTGACCTCCTTGGGCTGGTTGTTTCTCCTGCGGTCGCTGCAAAAGCTTCAGGAGTTCCTCATTCTGTTTTAACAAGCGTTGATGGACCAGGCAGAGGGCCTCCAACTTGTTGTTCATGGGAGGATCCACTATAAGAGGATTGACATCGACAATGGGAAAGAACTCTTGTGGATCTTCGTGTTGTCTGCTGGTATTCTCCTACTAGTTTTGCACCCGTGGGGGATTCACTTGGCTTCTGCTCATATTGCGGGTTGAGACCATCAGATACTGAAGGATCAATGTATTTATAACGAGAACAATCTTTCTCACAGAGGGTGTCAAACTGATGGTGTAAATTAACTTTGATGAGCAAAAGGTATGAATTATGCTTGACAGCTTGGATCTGAGTCATAAGGCTCGCGATGATCGTGAAAAGTTTTGCTGAGGGATTGGGATTGATTACACAATGGAGATATAATGGTTCACCAACTTGAGAGCTCTGCTAATCCACTTTTTAATGAAGGCTCTTGCTCCTTTCATTTTTATAATGGGGAACGGAGTTTACAGTATGCCATTTACGAAACTAGGGTTTCTTGCCCCATCTTGGAGGCAGTGTACAATATTTATAGTGCAATTTCAATTCCTAAGGATTCTTAGGTGCGATTTTAGCAGAATCTTCCTTGATTTTTGGGGAGAAGATCTCAGTTAGTTGATGATTTTATGCCTGGACTCCAGCCCCGTTGTCATCCAGTTGTTTCCTTATCCTCTTTACTATTGAGTATGAGCCCTGCATTTCTGGTCAGACCTCTTGACCTGACTTCGGCTCTTGGGCTCATACTTAACTGAAATTCATTCTGGGTATCATCAGAATGTGTTGAGATTTAAAATGGACTCTACGAAATTAATCAATTAGAAATATGATCTAATAAGTCTGATATACTTAAACGAAAGAAAAATGAATGTATTGATGTTGGAGAAAACCACGATGTTAGTAAACAAGTAGAAACTTGGAATGGAAGTCTAGATCTTTGCAAGGGGATTTGCATGGTGAAGTCACAATCAAGCAAAATGTAAAAAACGAACAAGACTTTGATACGACAACGTAGGAGCAATGTACATTCTTACTAGGGATAGAGAAAGGAGGCTGATTAATCCACCTCAAAGATGTAATTATGTGGATCTTGTTGCATATGCACTTAGTGTGACAGAAAGTTCTAAGGCTCATTATGAGTCAATAACTTGATGGAAAATAGAGTTTATGTTAAATTAGAGAACTGATCATTTCTTTACCTATAAATAAACATATGTCCCATCAATTTGTGTATCATAATAATAAAGGTCAAGAGAGAGAAACTGATTCCCGGGCTATACCAAAGAATAGTTTAATTCTTGATCAAGTAATTCAAGGTTTGTGATAATGGCTCTAGTTATATTGATTATGGTGTTTTAATTTTGCATAATTGATATGTGAAAATCAGACTTGTTTTAGATCTTGAAATTAGAGTTTGATTGATCTCTTTGATCAAATAAAGTTTACATGGTTATGAGTGAAGAGGGCTTGATTTGTTTGGAGCTAAGCTGAAAAATTCAACTTAGCCCTCGCACCATGGGCCGTCAACAAAGAATGCCTAAGCTGTGTGAGGCCTCAACAGGGTTCAATTCCAACAGGGCCAAGTTTGAACTTGGAACGACACAGTTACAAGCTCTTTTCTACGCTCTTATGTGATAGCGATTTGTCGATGTATATCAACAAAAAATTAATGAACAAAAAAAAGCTATGGTGCTCGAGTTTGTTTCACAAAAATAGAATAACATCTCTCAAATCCACTTTTGTGTCTAGTATGTCATTTTTTGTATTGGGCGTTTTGGCTTAGTACAATAGCAAAGGGTACTACGTTTAAATCTCATTATTATCCCGATGATTGCAATTCTTACACATGTCCCAAAAATAGTTGGGATCAACCTATCAGACGGCACAATCTTTTAGATTATTTGGTGGTTTAACATACCGCAAAGCTGATGGCTCTCATGGAAGTTAATGTGAAACTTGCGGTAGAGGGTCACTCCAAATGGCGTACGCTGATGGCTCTCATGGAAGATAATGTGAAACCTGCGGTAGAGGGGCACTCCAAATGGCGTAGTAAGGCTTGCGCTCTTTGCAGTTAAACCAATTTGGTCCCATTCGGTGACCAAACCATGGACTTTAAAGATGTTGTAACCATGGACTTCAAAGATCTGCCCACCATAAAAGTAAAGCAAAAGACAAAAGCAAAAACTATTATAGGAGAAGTCATTCTTTTTTGACAATGCTGCCCTTTTAAGGAAACTTTTGTGTCACTTCGCCACCATCCATTGTTCAAAAAAGTAACCGACTTTTTTTCCAAGGTCTGTGCATCAAGCAGTGCACGAAATGGTTTCTTGTCATTTTAATTTCTCAACGGTCCATTATGTTAAAACTGAAAATAACTTTCATTATAGAGGTAGGTGCTAGAGCAAAGGATACTGTACATCCGTCTAAGTAATATGTCGTCGCTCTAAATTGAAAAATTAACGTCTTCAAAATGGGGATAAGCTTCTCCTAGATCCTATTATACATGGAAAATTTGTGCACTGTGTACCATTTTTTTTTTAAGCATTTTGATCCAACTGTGCAAAGGCAGAATATGTAATAAAATTAACTTCTCGGAAAAGAAAAAAGAGTAATGCCACATTGACCAAATTTTAGAACTAAATTTAGAGTCCAAATGATATGACAGTTAATTATTTAAAATTTTTATTGGGGCCCAAATGACATCGCACCAATCAAAAAAATCCAAATCAACTATTATGTCATTTAAACTTCAAATTTGATCCAAAATTTGACCAATCTAATATTACTGAAAAAAAAAAAAAAAAGAAAGGTCGTAATGGGAAAACGTATCATGACTAATGGTTTAGGATGTAAAAGTCAAGCAGATTTAGATTTAACACCTAACAGTTTGGAACAAACTTGGTCATCCTTCTGACCATCCACCAGTACTACTGTTGGGTGATGTGGACGGACAGTGAACATGTTGCTTAATTCTATGTTCGAGTTGAAGGCTAATCAAGTCTGATAAGAACCTACCCATCACTGTTAGTTAAAAAAATTGGAAACTTGGGTATATATTTTCTATTTTTGTTTTTGCTTTCTTATGGCTTCTTTTTTACTTGTTGACTCCTTTGAAGCATGGATCTTTTTAAGTGGCTTCTTGATAATTATGTCGTTGTGTCTTGACTGTATCTTTTGATCGACTTGAGTAACTTTTACAGATCCCTTCCACCTTTACAGTGTATTTGACTTCATTATAAATTGAACACTTAATTTTAAATTCTTAGCAAGAAGTTGGCATGTCACATATCATAGGTATTCTTTGCACAACACTTGAAAGGAACATTAAAACACAATGTTTCAAACAAGAAAACATTGTTCTTGCTGGCATATGACTAATTCAAACTGTTTTTAGCTTCATACATATCATAAATAAGTCAGTCCATATCAATCCCATGACTCGGAAGTTAGGCATAAACAATTTTTCATAAATTTCCTTGACTTAATTATATCAGAAGTGTTATACCAGATTTAGCTTTTTTTTTTCTTTTTTTTTCAGTCATCAATATTGTGCATTTTTTGAAAGAGTGCGTGTGTGTGAGAGAAAGAAAGAAATTCATTTCACCACTTTAATTTGCACGAAAAAAAAGTAAATCTTACTGCAATTAAGACCGACAAGAAAATACTTGATCACAAGTCTAATGGAGTCAAGCTTAATAATGTTCTTCAAACCTATAACTGGTTTGGGATTTCAAATTTATTTTATTGATCATCCTTTTGAGAATCAACTGTAGTTGTATGATGAACATAAAATGAACTATTAAAAAAAATAGTCAAAAAAGATATGAAAAATTATTTCATTTGTATCACAATCCCTTCAGGACTGTGACAAATTCAATCCAATGATAAATTTGTTGTACATGTTATTAATCATAACAATAAACATATTAAATTTCATTCTAACAAAATACCCAATGATGCTACACAACTAATTGTCATCAAATATGTTTGGGCCTCGAACTTGTCCATTAAATCAGGATTGGAAGGTCATCATTTTATATTGTATACCAAACATGAGTAAGAATTATTTAATTTGGTGTTATACCAAAAGCTACAAGTATGCGTTAATCACAACTCATTTAATTGCTAACAAAAAAAAAACAACTCATTTGAATAAAGTCACTACTAATAAAGATTGGTTCTTAGAATTAATTCTGAAATGTCAACATTTATTTATTACAAATAACTGCATTTTATTGTAATCTTATCTGATTGAATCATATTTTAACTCAATTTTATCGAAACTTTTGATACAATATTAAAAATAATTGTTCAGTATTTTAACAAAGCATGCACCTAATCACATGCTAGCAATTAGTTCAAACTCTTAAACAAAATTATAAGCTTCAATCATTTTACACACCCCTCACATCTCTTACAACTCATCACTTCCCACTTCCTAATAAAAGAAATATATTTTTTTTTTTAAAGAACAAGCAAGATTTTCCCATTGCAAGATGGTCTAAATCAAAGTGAAAAATCCAAAAGCAAAGACCAAACAGTTGTTAAGAAGCCAGCAATTGGTGGTGACCCACAAAGACCTTAATCACAGCTGTATATCAACAGTAAGCCCACTAGACACCCTGTCAAAATTATGGGCAACCGGCAACCTGCGTAGTTAATTACAATTAATTAATATTTAACCCCAAAATCATCATTATTAACTAAGCTGACACAATCATATCATTTTTGTACCCAACTTTCCTTCCAGGGGTAGCTACCCATCTCTCTCTCTCTCTCTCTCTCACACACACACACACTCACTCACTCACTTACTCACACACACACACACATTGCTGCCTGTATATAAACCCCACCACTCAGACCCATCTTCCACCCACTGTGTCTGCCATTCCTCCCATTCTGAACCTTCACTTACTTCAAGGAGGAATAGCAGAGCCTCTCTCTCTCTCTGAACATATACAATAAATGGAGGCAATGAAGATGAAAACCCTTTTTGTTGCATTGGTGGTGGTGATGATGGTGGCAGCCTCCTCCTTGAAAGGCGTCTCCGCCGCGGAAGCTCCGGCTCCAGCCCCAGCCTCCGATGCCACTTTGTTCGTCCCCACATCCTTCGCCACTCTAACAGCTCTAGCATTTGGTCTCCTCTTCTGATGTCCCAGTAATTGATACTTTGATGAACTATGATCCCTCCTCTTTCCTCTCTCTAGATTCAGTTTTCTCTTCTCGCGTTTATGGGAGAGAAACAGAGAAGAGATTCATGTGTTGAGACTTGAGACCTTTCGATTTTCTTTTCTTGTGTTTTTTTTTTTTTAAATTTAGATTCATGTGTTTAATTTATGGTTATTGTTGATGTGGTATTTGAGATTTGTTGTGGTGTGATTCATGTGTTTGATATCATTGTACTTATGAAACATATTTTTTCTAATAAATGTTCTTCGAGATCTATGTGTTTAATTAGACCCATTGAATCAATTATTTCACATTATTCCAATCACAAATATCCGATAGTTTTTTGAACGAAAATTGCGAACATGTTAAAACAAAGTGAAAAAAATTATACAATTTGGAGGTAAAATGAACAATATTTTGATTAAATATATAACAGACATTTATAATTGGGGGAATGTGAAATTAATTAGATAGTTGAGGGTGTAATGTAAAGAATATGATATTTAGGACAATGTTAAAAAATGATCATAATTAAGGAATCAAAGTATAATTTATCCTTATTTTTTATATTTATCTTGTGGAAGTCATTAAGTTTCCTCCCTTAAAGTCATAAACTCATGGTTCTTTGGCTGAAAACACATAAAAAACAGGTGACGAACAAATAATTAGTAAGCTCGGATAAAATTTGTTCTCATTTATTGTAGAAAGAATATAGCAGTTACGCTTTCCTAAAAACCATTAGACGAGCGAATTGTCATAGTTCAGTCGATGACCGAATTGGAGGTGGGAATACAAATAATATAAAAATTGATTCTTTCTTTGATCTCCGCCGATGTAGATTCAAGCTTATTATCAAGTACTTGTGGGCAGGCTTTTGAAAGTGGGACCAGGTGTGTAGGATTAGCATTATACTCCCATCAATTTTGAGAAAACAACAAAAACCAAGAATGAAACAACACCTTGCACATAAAAAAGATATTATTGATGGGACATTTTTGAAATACTTCAAGATGAAGACACGTGTCCTCGGTATCACTAAATCCTGTTATTGAGATCACGTACCCATCGGTTCACAAGTCCCTCTCCCCCGAGGAACTTTGTCATAGGGATCAAGTGGCATCCAGTACGTTTACGAACCGACACGTATCTCTCGGTCTGATATGGGTACATCGGTCACTATATGCACCTTCCCTCGGCTCCGAGATGAACTTTTCCCTCGGGTCCGAGATGTACCTCTGTCCAGGGTGCGTTCTCTACTCCTACAAAGGCTATTGATGTACAGGTCACTAGCCTAGGCTAGGCTAGGTTACCTATCATGACCTCGTCTTACACAATTGGTGTCAGAAGGCACAGGAAGGTAGGGGCCACAGCCAATGGGGAATGGCATATTGTGTCACATCAAAGACAGAAAGACCGCATGCCCTTGCTGACACACGACTTGGGAAAGCAAGCATTTAATTACATCATTCTCTTGATGAGACTGCATTCAATGCGGAAAGGCTCGGAAGTGAAAGTCAATAAATGTCTCTAAGGCTGGACATTTATTGCATCCTCCCCGAGAGGAGTTCATTGGACAATCGGCAGCCCGATGACACAGCATTGATTGCTCGGGATCCCGAGCAGTTAAAAGAAAAGACATTCCTCATCAGAATCAATGCGCACATTGCCAGTACCTAATGATCACCTACTGACTACACTAACAACAATCATGAGTTTTTGAGGTATAAATACTCCTCGCAAAAGGCAAGACAGGGGGCAACAAAAAACCTTTGCTACAAATTATATTCAGTGTTTTCTTCTTCCTCTCTCTCTCAAAAACTGACTTGATTGTCAGAGGGGATACGCCGAAAAACATTCCGGCACCCTTCTAAATTGTTTTTCTTTGTTCCAGGAACCTTCCTCAGCCTTACTAGATCGTTCCGTTGATCCACGAGGGTCTCTCATTACCATTTCAGGTTACCACCAGACCTCACAGGTTGTTCCAAGCAGCAGGGTTGACCACTCGATTGACTCACTCGAGTTCACCAAGGGAGAGATCTGTTCTCGTGTTTATATTGTGCAAGATCCAGCACGCACAATCTGGCGCCGTCTGTGGGAAACGACTAGTTTTCCTAGTTTCTTCTCTATAAAGAACAGTGACCATGGTGAATACTCGACAAAAAGGGAAAGGTCCCCAGCAAAGAAGTCTCAAATTACAAGCTCCATGTCACCATGGAGGGAGGGATCACACTGATGAGAATAAAAATGCCTATAGTCAGTCAAGAGGGGTTACCCTCAAACCAGTATGGGCATCAGGTCAGGAGGATCAGCCCCCTTGGCTCATCAGCTGGCGGAGGTGATCGAAGAAAAATTTGGCGATAGATTACGACAACTGGAAAAGGACAATGTAAACATCCTAAGCCGGCTCAACGAATTCGTAGCCTCCGGCGAAGGGTTGAGGGACTCATTCCTTTCTCGTGGGCTCCCCGCCCGGGAGGCGAAAATGAAGGATCTAAGGAATCATCTAAACAACAAGGCAGAAAGCTCCAGGGCCCCAAAGCGACCGAGAGCCAACGAGCACCCTCTTAACGACCATTCTAAGAAGGCAAGACCTTTAGCCCTGGACGAGCTCCAGTGAGGATTGTCAAGACAGAGGAAGGAAGATGAGTCCGAGGAGGATTTGACCCTATCCACACGACGCCCAGGAAATGGGGGGCCTATTGATGAACTCAAGGACTTCAGAAGACATCCCATCAGGGAGGAAATTGATCTCAAAGCCCGGTTGGAATCCAGGAGAAAGGGTAAGGTTGTCCAGGATGAGGTCGAAGATGAGGTCATACAAACACCCTTTACCAGGGAGATCGGAGAGATGGAGGTTCCAAGAAAGTTCGTCGTGCCGAGGTTCAAAACTTATGATGGGCGGTCCGATCCCGAAGCCCATCTTAGGCAATACAAGCAGATGATGTCCCTCTATCATTCAGACCAACGGTTCCTCTGCCGAGTGTTTCCTATGAGCTTGGGGGACTCTGCGATGAAGTGGTTCGAGGCGCTTCCCCGCAACAGCATTGGATCGTGGAAAGAATTGACGAGGCAGTTCCTAGCTCAATTCATTATGGGGAGTAAGCGGCCTAAAGAAGTTGGATCATTGTTAACGCTCAGATGGAGGGAATCCGAGACCCTTCGTCAGTATGTCATTCGGTACTGGGAAGAGGTTAATGAGGTAGAAGGCTGCTCGGAAGTCATGGCAACAGCGTCTTTCAGGCTCGGCTTGGCAAGGGACACGGACCTGTACCGATCCCTGACCAAGAAGACTCCCTCGGATATGGGCGAGCTGATGGCCCGGATAAACAAATACTCAAGGATCAAGGATGAGATGGGAAGCAGCAAAGGCCGAACCCTCCAATCTAAGAGAAAAGAGAGGGAGCAGGAGGATACTCCCCGAAAGGGACTGCTACCCCCTCTGGGGGGGCGTCCAAAGGAGTTCACACTATGTTCAAGGAACCCATCTTCAAGTTGCTCCATAAGATCAAGCATGAGCCGTTCTTCAAGTGGTCGCCCAGGATGCAGAGCGATCCCTCCACCCGTGATCAAAAGGTTAGGTGTTCCTATCACCGGAATTTCGGACATCGCACTGAAAAGTTGCAGGGTATACAAATCGTTCTTGGAAAGGTTGGTCCGAGACGGATACTTGAATGAATACATAGAGCCCAGGCCGGAAGAGAGACACACCCTGCCCCGACCAAGGAGCCGGACAACGTCATAGATGTCATCCATGTATGTCCACTAGATCGCCCCACGTCCAAGGAACTCGAGTCCGATCTCAAAAGGGTAGCTTTTACAAGGAAGGTAGCCGAGGATGATGGGGGGCCACCCAGTAAGAGGGCCAGGACTGGAGAGCCCAGCATCACGTTCTCCTACGTGGACTTGACAGGCGTGGTGACTTCTCATAACGACGCCCTTGTCTTAACCCTGAAGATAGGTAAATTCGACATCAAAAGGGTGTTGATAGACTTCAGAAGTTCCTCGGAAGTGATGTACTCTGAGACTTTAAAACAGATGGGTCTTGGCCTCAAGGACTTCACCAAGGTCAGGACACCCCTCATCGGATTCAACGGCTCGTTCGCCCTGCCCATAGGTAAAATCACATTACCAGTTGCCACAGGTCCCTTCGTCATCAACATCGAGTTTGTCGTGATTGATACGGACTCTCCCTACAACGTGATCATGGGACGAACATGGCTGCATGCGTTGGGAGCGGTGCACTCCACTTATCACCAGAAATTGAAATTCGCCACGCCAGAGGGGATCATGGAGATCCGAGGGGACCAAGCGTCTGCAAAAAATTATTTTTATTCAGCTGTTACAGCCGGGGCCTTCACCCAAGAAAAGGGGCGAGCTCCGAAAGAGATCATGGAAAAATAGCAATCACAGTCCGGGCGTCCAGGAATGGATGACCCCCGGATTGACCCGACGGAACGGTCGGTGGAGGACCTCCGAAAGGTGCCCTTGGTGGAGGGAGAAGAAGAAAGACACTTCTTAGTTGGAACCACAATGCCCACGGCAGAACAGGAGGAGATGATAGAGTTCCTGAGGAGAAATGCAGACGTGTTCGCTTGAAACACAATAGAAATGACGGGAGTAGACCCCGAGATAATCACGCACAAGCTGCATGTTAACCCGGTGCACAAGCCAGTAAAACAGAAGCCACGACGCATGGCCCCGCATCACGCCTGCGCGGTCAACGAAGAAATCGACAAACTCCTGAAGGCCAACGCCATTCGGGAGATACAGTTCCCAAAATGGCTGTCTAACACGGTTTGCGCGAAGAAGAAGGGGGGAAAATGGCGTGTCTGCGTAGACTTCACAGATCTAAACAGGGCATGTCCGAAGGACGACTACCCCCTACCAAAGATAGACTAGCTAGTGGATGCCACTGCCGGATATGAACGCATGGACTTCCTGGATGCCCGAGCAAGATATCACCAGATCCCTCTCCATC